GTAGTACGTAGAGTACGGTAGTACGTACGTAGTACGTACGACGAGAGAGAGAGAGAGAGAGAGAGAGAGAGAGAGAGAGAGGTAATTAGTTGATGGAAGAGAACATAAGCCATGGCCTCCCATTAACTCTAACCCATCTTCTTCAACAGACATTGAGAAGTATGTGCGTTCATGAAAACTCCCCTTGGGTTTATGCTGTCTTTTGGAGGATCCTGCCTCGAAACTACCCACCACCCAAGTAAGACGAGATCCTACAACAACATAGATTCCAAGAAAATTTAACAACCCTTTGGCCTAAGCATAGAGAGAGTAGTAAATGAAATAGTTTCAGCCATTCTCAGTTTTACATATGTTTCGATCAGTTAGAAATATGCATTGCATTTAAGCATTTTCATTTTGTTTTCCAGATGGGATGTTAATGGAGGAGGCTGTGACAGATCAAGAGGGAACAGAAGGAATTGGTATGGATGGCCTCTCTCTCTCTCTCCAACCATCTAGACTAAAGTTCAAATTCATAATGATTGATTGTTCTCCCTCTCTCCAAGTTCCAATTCTCAAGATATAAAAATTACATTCTTGGTGATTCATGGTTCTCTCTATTATCAGAAAGTCTAAACAAATTTCAGATTCTTAGTGATTCATGGTCTGTGGTGGTCATGGTGATAACACCAGGATCTTGGTATGGGAAGATGGGTTCTGCGACTTCTCAGCTACCATATCCGACACTGCCGAGATGAGAACCAGTGATTGCGCGAGTTCGTCTCTCTACACCACTTCTGAATTCCAGCATTCAAGAGGCCTACAGCCTGAGCTCTTCTTCAAAATGTCGCATGAGATCTACAACTACGGAGAAGGGTAATACCATAAACTAGCAAATGCAAATAAAAAAAGAAAAAAACGAAGAGTGCTATTTAATAATTCAATCACAAATATTAACGCACACTTTGAACATGGGTTCTTTCCAGTTTGATTGGAAAAGTCGCCTCGGATCACAGCCATAAATGGATCTTTAAGGAACCTCAAGACCATGAGATCAATTTCTTATCTTCATGGCATAGTCCAGCTGATTCTGTGAGTATGAGGACCTCTCTCTATACTTGATGATTGATGATAGATTAATACATTGTTTCTCTCGTGGTGTTTAATAAAATACAATGTTAAAATTTGTGCTTTTGAGGTTTCAGCACCCAAGAACATGGGAGGCTCAGTTTCAATCAGGCATTCAGGTTCATCCCTTCTCTACAGCTCTTCAAGATATAGGTTTGATTTACATGATGTAACTTTTGAGTGTCTCATTGTTTATTCAGACAATCGCTCTAATCGCCGTTAGAGAAGGCGTAATCCAGTTAGGCGCAGCTAACAAGGTTATTTCTTGGTCCTTTGACGGACAATGATCTCTCTCACACACACACGTTCAAACACGAGCAAGGGGTGGACACGCATGCCTGCGTGTGCACACACACTTGCCAGCAGAACCACATTCACATATTTCATGCAGAAAGGCAATTAGTGCAAGGATTTTGGAAACCACCATCCAAAATTAACCAAATGTATAGTCTGATTCAATCATTTTCAGGTCATGGAAGATCTCAACTATGTGGTTCTACTAAGGAAGAAGTTCAGCTATCTAGGCAGCATCCCAGGGGTCCTACTCCCTCACCCATCTTCTGCTGCCTTCCCTCTCCAAGGCGATGGGGGAGCTCCCAGTGTTCCCCACAATTGGCCCTTTCAACCATCGATCGCACCCGACTCCAACACTTGCCACCCCGAATACCATGACTACTTGTCATCGATGAACCCCAATTTTCATGGATCAGGAATTAAGATAATGCCATCAATGACAAGCCTGGAAGCCCTTCTTTCTAAGCTTCCGTCTGTCGAGCCCTCTCTCCACTCAGCGTCTTCTTATTGCGGACCAGCGTCTTCTTATTGCGGACCCTCGCCCCTGTTTGCTTCAAATACACAAGGGATCGACAAGATGAAAGAAGAAGAAAATGATGAATATGGTAATGGAGGAGAGAGTAGCACTGCAGTGCACTTGTTTCGACATCGCTAATGATAAATGCTAAGGAATCTCTGCATATGCTGCTTGTTTATGGCATGTAAGGAAATTGGCCATGGCTGATTTCTCATGCATAATTCAAGGGTATCTCATGCAGGCCCTGTACTGTCAGAAAGGACAGCATTGTCATGCCAATAAATTTATCGTTTAGTTTTTGGGAGGGTGGTTAGGTTCATAATAAGAAGGGGCGGACCATTGAAGTTAGTAATCATCTCTTAATGAGGTTTTCTATCAAGTACTTGTAGGATTAAAGGCAGTCAGACTTCTTTAGGAGCAGGATCTATCCTTGCATGTTTATGAGAAAGAGGCCTTCTCATTAAAAGGAATGTTGAACTAAGAAACTAATGGTAAAGCCATGGTACTGAGGAGTAATGAGCTTTAAGGAAAACAAATAAATGTAATAGGAGGTCAAAACATATCTAATGTTAGGGTTTGACTTTTAAAACAGAATATCCTCAAAAATACCAAACTTACCCTTTTTCAAGGCTGGGAACCTAACAATTTAGTAATTTAATCCCTTGGAATGATTCAACCAATATTCATTCAGGATGGGTCAAATTATTAAAATGCTTGTGCATGTTTAAAATTCCTAACTTTGAATAAGAGCAATTAAAGTATGTTTGAAGATATTTTTTGAAGTACTTGAGTAACATGAAAATTAAAAAAAAAACTCTAATGTTAATTGTGATATTTTAATCCCTTAAATGAATTTGTAAGGGATTTTTACCTATTAAATAATATTTCACCATGAAGGGTAAAATTTTGATGCCTCAACAAACAATGAACCTATTTTCGGTGTCACCTTCTCATATCCAAGTGATAAATATTAAGATGCGCCACAACAATCTGGAGGCAAAAAAGTCCATTTCGAATAATTTCATGGACTATTCATTTTAATTCTTCACGAATCATCTGATTTGCACAATACTTTGAGCCGGAAATACATGCATCCAAGGCAACTATTTTGTAGTGATTTAGAATGTTTTAAGGACCTGCAAATACATGGATCTAATGCGGATTGCATCTGAAATTTTTGGGGTATTTTGATCAAAATCAGGTTAAGCTCATGCTCTCGGCGATGCACAAAACACTTTCCTATAAAAAGCCTAACAGATTGTATTAAAAGAAAACCCTATGATAGAAAGTTTGAGACAGAGCCTGCCATTAAAAGGAATGTTGTACTAAGAACCTAGAGGCACAAGCATGTTGCTGATGACCTCGCAGATGAATAAATGAAAGCCACAATTCATATCATATAGTAAAAGAAATCAGTCTGATTCCAAATTTATGAGCTAGATGCTCATTACAAAAAGTCATTCTATATGATATTAGGCAAGGTATTCTAAACAAGAGTTTACGAACAGTGAAAAGCCCCAGAAGCTTTCCTGTTTACAACGCTTGCATTACGAGAAACATCGCCTGTTTCATTCAAACCATTCATTCCAACACACTATGCACTTCATTACATCCCATGAAAAATGGAGGAATGTCATCAACTTATAAAAAACCACAGCCAAAAGGTATACTATTATCTTTCAATAGATCTGCTAGGCTAAAGAGACAACATCGAGGTTGCAACAATGAGCACCTTCTCGTTGATCGATGACCTGGAATACTAGCCATAACATTAAATATCTATCTCTACAAGTTTAATGGTTCATCTCATTATACAGCCATTTTGAAATAAACTTTTGCTTGATCTTCAAGAGGCAAAAGGAAATGCAGAAATAACATTTCTATACGTTCTGCATGTCTTGCAGTTCTCTCAAGACCAACTCGGATGCAAACAAGAAGATTCTATTGTAATGGAGTAGCAATAATGCATTAGTGATCACAAAATGTAGCCAATTTCTGGCACCAATTAAGTATCAGAATGCCAAAATCCAGATTTCAAGACAAACAGAGCAAGCCCCTCATATAAAATACAGTTTCACCACCTGAGCGCAAGCTCATTCTTTTAACAGGTTCAAACCAGCCATTACCAGTTTGAGCTCCATAATTCCCATAAATAAACTAACGAAATGCAGCTGTATCTTCCCTGAATTGAGTAAGGAGATCTTCCATGAATTTCACTGAGTGATCAGACTTGTCTCTAACTCTTACACTCACCTGCAAGTAAGGAAGGTTCATCAGAAATGACAACTTCGTAAAGAGGACGTAGGGCCCACACAAAAGGCAGCTTAGTGGCAGATCACAATTGCCTCTGGTTGGAATCCCAACTTCCCCACCAAAAGAAAAAATATGTTCCCATGATTATGTTCGCTAAAGTACAATTTCTTTTGCCTATGTATAGGGTAAAAGAGTATCACAAGCACAATCAATTTGAAACGTGAGAAGATTGTTGGAAGTGAGTTGATTCCCAACTTAATGTTTGCATTCAAAAAAATGACAGCATTTTTCTAGGCCAAGGCACTCTGTGGTCAGTATTACGAGGTAATGGTAATCTTCAAATACCATTAAATCTTCAAATGCCATAAGAAGTCAAGTTAAAACCTGATTGGTGTTTGCTTCCTCCTCACCAACGACCAATATATAGTTGTATTGAGCCAACTGAGCTTCTCGTACCTGCATTTGAAATTAAGTGTTCAGGAGAGGACAATTAGCTCAACAAAAAGAAATTTATTTGTAGTTAATTAATATTCAATAGCAGGTCCAAGCTAAAATCCTAAAGAGTATCTTGTGGAGAGACAATTTATAAATGAAAAATGAAGTTCTTCCCAAAATTCTATAAAAATACAACCAATATACAAGAATATGCATTTAAAAAAAATAAAAAATGGAACTATCACAGACAAGGCTATCATCGATAAACCCCAAAGCGCCATAAGTCATTTTCTTTATTTTCTTCTATTTAAAATTTATAGACACAAATAGCAGGACATCTTTGCGCACAAAAATGTGAACATGATTATGAAGACTGGCATTGAGGACCAAATGTCCTCCACTGCCCTACAGGACTGCAGAAGTACAGGAGATCAAATTAAGAATTAGCGACCACATTCAACTATTCTACTCAAAACTATTTACAGCCCATAGTAGCAGAAATACAGAACATATGGAGGTCAGATAATGAGACCACATTCAATTGTAAAGTTCCCAAGAGTTACATGAACTGTATCATCTAAGAAATACACATCATAGGAGGTCAATTGAAAGCTTCTTTTAAATCCAAAAAACAGCACATAAGATACAACCCCAGGAAGGAGAGTAATCGCTTTAATAAATTGGGAAAATCACAAAATTCCAATACATTAGATAGGATCATTCTGACAAGAATTATCATATGCTCCGCATGTGTTTCAGAAAATACATACAGCTTAATAGAAGCTTAATTCCAAAGGAAACATATTTCTTTTTCCAACCATTTCAAAAATATTCAACAGCAAGCATGACTTGATTAAACTAGGCGCAACCTTCAACAGCCCCTTTCACTACACTAAGCTACTTTACCATGATGGCTCTTCAAGCTTTCACCCCATATAGTTCAAGTACAATAGCACAAGACAAGATGTTTGTGATAGGAACATCCTCAAAATCCAAAAATGCTGTCGCACTCCAAGTATAGTGTTTGTGATTCAAAAAACGGACCGCCCAGTGCCTAGGCGGCCACCCAGGTAGTCCAGAAGGCCTGGGCGCATCACCTAGGCCTAGACAACCAAACTAGGTGGGTAGTCCCTGGGCAGCCGCCTAGGCAGTACAGTACCCACCTAAGAGGGTGCCCAGCGCCCAGCCCTAGGTGGCCACCTAGGGCCTGCACCCCACACAGGGGCGAAAATGGATCTTTTTAAGGGTTACTTAGGGGGTTTGCTTTTTTTTTAAAAAATGCTTTTAAATGTGGGTTTTAGGTTCATTTGAAACCTGAACCCACAAGAATCCATTTTATAGAGACAGAGAAACCTAAAAAAAAATTACATTTTGTGATTTTCATTGGATCGAAGTGTTACTCAAAGTTATGGGAAATGGATCCAAACATCACCCATCATGATTAAACTTAGTTTTGGAGTTTTTTTAGTCATATTAGAGGGTGGTTTTGAATATTTTAGCACCAGAAAACATCTCAGAGGTGGAAGTTTGGAGTTTGAGCAAGCAAAGTAAGTGCAAAACTTTATTTTTTAGATTGCTTGTATTGTTTTGAGATGTATTCTTCAAGATCCAATCAAAGTAGAGACGCGGGTTGAAAATATGGATATAACTCGAATTCCAATGACAAAAATTGCATAAGATGCAATTATTGTGAAAATGATACAAAAAGGGGGCATAAATCGATTTAAGAAACATCTTGCCAGTATTAAAGGGAATATTGCCTCTTGTAAAATTGTTCCTGAAGCTATTAGAGAGGAAATTAACCAATATTTGAGTTCAGTTAAATACAAACAGGAACAAAATCTTTGTCATTTAGATAGGTCTATTTCTGGTTTTGTTAGAAGAAGTGATCCGGGTTGGAAGTATGATCATAACACGAAACCAAACGATAAAAATCGTATAAGGTGTAATTTTTGTGAAAAAGATACCAATAGGGCTATTAACCAATTCAAGAAACACCTTGCCAATATTAAAGGGAATGTTGCTTCTTGTAAAAAGGCTCCTGAAGCTCATCGGAATGAGATTAGACAATATTTAAATTTAGTAAAACCAAAAAGAGATGAAAATGAGCCTTGTTCTATGGAAATATTTTCTCCAGGTTATTCTAGAAGTGGTGATCCAAGTTGGAAGTATGGTCATAACCTGCATCCGAATGACAAAAATCATATTAAATGTAATTATTGTGGAAAGGATACAAATGGGGGTAGTTACTGTTTCAAAAAACACTTTGCTGGTATTAAGGGGGATGTTGCCCCGTGTAAAAATGTTCCTGAGGCTACCAAGGAGGAGATTATACAATATTTGAGTTCAAGGAAGCACAAAAAGAAAGAAAAGGGTAGAGCAACCAAGACTCCTAGGGCCTCATCTACACAGAGTAAGAGGGAGGTAGAAGAAGAGGAGGAAGACGTAGATTCTGAAGAAATAGAGGACGAGCGTTATGTTGAAGAGGGAAATGACTCTGATGATGATGACCTCGAAACTGATGCATATGATGAGGCTTCTCCTATTCCTGATGATGATGATAACTGAAGAATGAAGCGTTGAAGACGTTTAATTCTTGGTGTTGACTGTTGACTATGTAGTCCAAGACTATATTTTCTGAATTTCTGTATGTTTTCTTTTTCTTATTGTTAGTTTCTAGTTTCTACTATCTAACTCTTGTGTGTATCAGTGTATACTTTTATGGTTTTAGCATTGTATGAAAGTATGGACTATGGACTATCAAAATTCTCCTCATTCATGGAAATATCAAATATGGATCATAGATTATGTGTTATATAGTTATGTTGTTATATTTAACATATAGTTATGGATAAAATCATAAAAATTCTAACATTTTTCTTTCTACTGGGCCGCCCAGGTTCTGGGCGCCCGGCTAGGCACTGGGCAGCCTGGACCCCCACGGCCGCCTAGCGCTTTTTGAAACATTGTACAATGTACTCTAACCTTTTTTTTTTTTTGAAAGCAAAACTTTTAGTTTGCCTTAATGATTTATGGCTTTCTGCTTGTTTCAAATCCCAAATAATTGGGATAAGCATCTGATGATGATGTTTGTTTCAAATCCATATTTTTTATTAAGTTATTTTCAGAAACTTTAACAATAAAAATAAAATAGGAGAATGTGATTTTAGTAGTATATAAGCATTCTTGAATGACACCCCATTTCAGCACATGTATTTATGAATTTTCATGTTTGTCAAATTTTAACATTCATAAATACGATGCATGAAAAAATTACTCATGTTATACTTTCACAAAGTCAGGGGATTAAATTGTATTAGAGTCTATCCTAACTTCCTCTATGTACAGAAATCCTGATTTTCACAGAGAAAGTATTAACTATTAGCATCAGGAATTTCGTTGTTCTTCAATAGTAACATCAATAGTAAAACTCCATGCAAATTTCTCAATAACTTAAAAAAATATATTGTTTACCTATATTTACACGTCTAACAGGAATATGGCATGATGTTTTCAAGGTCACAGACAAATTCATACAATAGGATTTGAAAAGGGTGACAAATGTGTACGTGATAAAATCCCAAGTTAAAGTATCAATTAAATAATGTTGCACTGCTCCTCCTGCGCAGGAAAGAACATAAAATTAATCACTAAGTTGCATAACATTCTGCGCCGATCCTCATACATGTTATATCTTCTCTACAATTTTCAAGGACCGGGGCTGACAGGCATCTGTCCTTCTCCATAAGTAGATTGGGACCTGATAGCCCTAACCCAATAAAAAACAGGACAAGAGGGGTAGATGACTCCATCCATAAAGGAAAAATGGGCAATGCAAGGTCCAAGACAAAATCTAGCAATATTCCATTTCTATCTATGGAATGGGGCACAATTGCGCTCCATCCAAATAAAAAGCCAAAAGGAGAACCAAAAATAAAAGAATTGTACATGCTCCTTGAAGCAAATATTATCATCATTTCAAATTAAAAAAACAACTATTCTGAGAGGAAGTAGGACATGTTATGCAGTGGATGGTATGGGTTTGGGAACAATAATTCGGAGAGTGGATACATTTTTCCTATGAAGCTTCGCTCCAAAGGCAATGTTTCTGAGAGGGAGTCCCATGCAACTAGGGTAGGAAATATGCAAACACCACAACTAAAAGCATGGTAATAAGCACCCAAAGAAAGAAAAAGGAAGAAAATTTATGCATCAAGTATATCTGAAACAGACATGAAATTTACTAATCTCCATGTGAATTGACAATCTTCAATCATTTAATAAACGGACGTGGATTTTACCTTCTTTTGAATTTTCCTATCAGTAGTATCAACATCTACATAATAGCCAGCTTGATGGATCTGGTCTCGAACCTGCAGAAAAAGATAAAATGTTGGTAGAAATATGCCTTACACAAGCAACATAAGATTCAAAAGATCCCAATTGCAATATATACATCCTTCACATTTTAAATTTCATTTGAAGCCAATCCTGCACTTGATAATAATGATTGATATTCAATTAAATTTTGTTTGCTCATATAAATGGAATGAGAACATTATGGATAATGGATTTCGTTATCATAAATACATTCCAAACACTGAAAAATACTTCCTTGGACTTCCCAATGAATTAATATAAGTGTTCTCACAACTGGGGTTCCTTTGAGTTCTTGGTTCATCCTGATTTTTGGATACCTGTTTCTCAACTGCAAGCTTATGAAATAAGAACAAAAGTAATACCAGCAAAACAACGTATACTTAAGATAAACTTAGCTCCAGTAATTTCTCTTGCAGAGTGAAGGAAGGACTGATTTGGTGGTTGAGAGAGAACAGTAAAACTGAAAATGTATGTGTATATATATATATATATATATATATATATATAGACATCAAATCCTTCTGAAATACTTAGATTGTACAATAGTGTATCTAGACTACGGGAATTAGTGCATCAATCCTTGTCTTTAGAACATGTGCCCGTCAACCTTCAAATGGAAATCATTAGCACCATTCAAAGCATATTGGGAATCAGTATTGTATCTACACCATATATTCCTTAACATAATATGAAGTACCAAAGAAACAAGGAAGTGAATCCGCTCAGTGCCTGAGGATCAAGGGAGGATATGCCCAAATTAATATACTTACAGGAACTACAAACATTTTGGTTACCTTCAATGCATAAGCCTGAGATTTCTCTGACACAGGGCAAACAATAGCTTGTCTAGGACTCAACCAAAAGGGCCATTTTCCTTTGTAGTGTTCCAAAAGTATTGCAAACATTCTTTCAACAGATCCTAGGATAGCCCTGTGTATCATCACGGGTCTTTCTCTTTTAGCTTCATCCTCTGCTGAGTAGGTTAAGTTGAAACGAGCAGGAAGTTGAAAGTCCAGCTGCAGTAACAAATTCACAAAGTCAACGATAGATAAAACTTCACGAGAAATTCCAAGATACTTCCTCTTCATAGATAAACTAGAAACATGCAATTTAGTAGTACCTGCAATGTAGCACACTGAAACTTCCTCTTCAAAGCATCAAATACACTAATGTCTATCTTTGGCCCATAAAATGCACCATCACCTGTATTGATCTGTAGAAGAATATCCAAGATATTTGATAATGACAGACATAAGGAGCATTTCAAGGCATTGAAGATAATGCAAAACAATCGATTAAAATGATTAATTTACTGAACCCTATGAAGTACCAATTATGTTTATCTAGGTAGGGATTATGACGTGCATGTCGGAGTTCTGAACCCTAGGATCTGTTGAAAGAATGTTTATTGCAGTACCAATTATGTTTATCGTTAGTTTACCGAACCCTATGAATATGTTTATGGTTGTCCCACTTAAATGGCGGGTTGACTATTGCAACGCCACATCCTCGTCCAAACCCCACCATTAACCTAAAACAAAAAATTTAAAAGAAAATGGAAAAAAAAAGGCTTTTGGTCTGACAAAAATTACTAGCTTGAAAGGTAACTAGGCTAATAGGGGTTTCACACGCCATTTGAAAGGAGGTATACCATGCCGTAGAGCACTCAGAAGATGCTGCTAGGAATTGTTTGATGGAACAAGAAAGGAAATACATTGGAGAGGATAACCGATGGAGGGAAGAATTATTTTTATTTTTATTTTTAATTTTTATTCAATTTCCAGTGATTCAAAAAGCGGACCGCCCAGCGCTTAGGCGGTCCGAAAGGCCTGGGCACATCGCCCATGCTTAGGCGGCCAATCTGCGCGGTCAATCCCTGGGCGGCCGCCTAGGCGGTACCAAACCCGCCTAGGCGGCCTAGCACCCAACCCTGGCGGCTGCCCAAGGCTTGCGCCCCGCCCAGGGGCGCAAAAAAATTTCATGAGAGCATTTTGCATCATTTTTTTTTTTTAAGGTCCAAAAATTAGGGTTTAGGTTCATTTGAAACCTAAACCTTGTTTGAGCCAAATTTAGAGAGAGAAAACCACCAAAAATTTAGATTGTGGTGAATTTTTTAAGATCAAAGGGTAACTCAAAGTTAACCAAAATTGATCAAAACATCACCCATTGGTATTATATTTACTTTTTGATGTTTTGCAAAGTTATTAGGGGGTGTTTTAAAAGATTTTGAGTATTTAGAAACATCTTTGAGGTGGAAGTTTGAAGATTGAGCAATCAAACTCAAAGTGATTTGTTTATTGCTTTAGTAATTTGTATTATTTTGAGATATCTTCTTCGGGATCTAATAGGAGTGGTGATCTCGGTTCGAAATATGACTATAACCCAGATTCTAATGATAAAAATTGCATAAGATGCAATTTTGTCAAAATGATACAAAAGGGGCATAAACCGGTTCAAGAAACATCTTGCCGGTATCAGGAGGGATATTGCCTCATGTAAAAAGACTCCTGATGTTGTTAAAGAGGAAATAAAGAATTTTATAAACGTGGTGAAAATGAAAAAAGATGAGGGATTTGCCTCTATAGCAGAGATTAGGTCGGGGTTCAAGTCATTTTCATGATGATGATAGTGATGAGGAAAGGATTGGGGAGGGATGTCAAGAGGTCGAACAATCCATCATTAGGGGAAAGGGGAAAGGAGTTGTAATTGCTTTTGGTTCTGGGACTAAGAAGCCTCGGGTTAGAGACCCTATGGGTAGTTTCTTACCTCAGCCTGACCTTGAGATTGCAGGAGAGAAAACAAAAAAACAAACCACCATTGAAAATAGAATCAAGAAGGAAGAGAGAGATAGAGCTGCGTATTATTTGGTTACATGGTTCTATGAGGTGGGCATTCCTTTCAATACTGCTCGCTTGAGCAGCTTTTATGCTGCAATAGAGGCAATTGGCCAATTTGGCCTAAGGATGAAACCCCCAACCCCATATGAGCTTTCAAAGCTTTTTTTAAAAAAAGCAGTGAGTGCCACGAGGGATGCTGTAGAACTTAAGAAAGATGCATGGGCTCAGTATAGGGTTTCTCTTATGACTGATGCTTGGAGTGATAGGAAGAGAAGAAGTCAAATGAATTTGCTTGTGAATTGTCCAGTAGGGACTGTTTGTTTGAGGTCTATTGATGCCTCTGATCATATCCATGATGCCCATTACATATTTCAAATGATAGAGAAGGGAATCAAGGAGGTCAGGGAGCATCTTGTTGTACAGGTTGTCACAGATAATGCTGCTCCTATTGTTGCTGCATCTTATTTATTGCGCATAGCTTATCCTAGAATCTTTTGGACACCATGTGCAGCACATTGTATAGACCTCATGCTTGAGGCTCTTGACGGTTTAACCGAGATATCAAGAACAATGAAGAAGGCCAAGTATGTTACGAATTTCATTTATAGCCACCATATCACCCTCAGCATGATGTGTACCTTTACAAAGAAGAAAGAGATTGTGAGGCCTAGGGTCATGAGATTTGTGACCTGATAATTATGCCTAGATAGCATACATTCAAGGAGAGTACAATTGAGGTAAATGTTTACCTCGGATGAGTGGAAAGCATACAAGTGGTCTACGGCTCAAGTTGGAAAGAAGGTGAGAGATAATATACTTTCTAAGACTTTTTTGCGAGGGGTGAATGACGCTTTTAAAGTATTTTTTGCTATTATCAAAGTCCTTCACATGGTTGATAGTGACAAGCCTTTTATGGGCTACATATATGATGTTATGGAGAAATGCAAAAGAGAGAGCCCAAAATTTCAATGATGAAGAAACCCGTTACAAGCCTATTTGGGAGATTATTGATGAGAAGTGGGATAAGCAGCTACATCGGCCATTGCATGCAGCTGGTTATTTTTTGAACCCAACTTTGTTTTATATCGACAAGGATATACAAACAAATGACACAATTATGGATGGATTTAATAAGTGTGTAGAGGTGCTAGTCCCTAACCTTGAAATGCAAGATAGTATATGCGCTGAAATTACATGCACTCATTAAAGTCTTTTGGGAGTCCAATTACGATGAGGCAAAGGACCAAAATTAATCCAGGTATTAAATATTATTATATTAATAATATTCTTAAGTTCATCTTCATCAAGTTAAACTGTTCAAGTAATCAAGTATTATATGGACAATGCTATGAAGTGGTTAGTTGATGATGAGGTCGAGGGGCTTGAAAGATTGACATGGGACATGGTCATGGATGCTTCAGGGACATCAACTGATCCTCTTAGGGCCACTAGAGCTTCTGCACAAAGAACAAAGGTGGAGGAAGAGGAGGCAGATTCACAAGAGACAAAGGAAGATGAGTCGCAATATGTCGAGGAGCGTGACGACTTCGTCGACTCCGATGAATATGATGCCAATGCTGCTGACCCAAGATTTTTTGATGATGAATGAATGTTGATTGTTGAATAATTATTAAACGTTGTTACTTTGAACTTTGATTGAAGTATGGTGTATTGAACATTTGAACTATTGAAGAGTCATTTAAGTCTTCAAGTATTACTTTCATAGTTTTATAATTTGGTTGGTTGGCATATTTTAAGTTTTAATTGGATATGGATTATGGAGTATGAACCGACTTATGGATTATGGTTATACTTATGGAATGTGTGCTAAATGCTAATATGTAGTATAATTTGAATATAACTTATAGTTAGATACTCAAATAACTGCAGAATCCTTATTTGGATTCAACTGGGCCGCCCTGGGCGCCCGCCTAGGCGTTGGGCAGCTTGGACCCCCCAATCCGCCTAGGACTCGCCTAGCGGTTTTTGAAACACTGTCAATTTCCATGAATGTATATTATAGTTTTAGTTTTAGAGTTTATTTCTAGCAAGTACTATTCATAATTACTATTCATGAGTATTGATCATGGGTACTGTTCATAGAGATAAAACTGTCATTACAAATTTTAAGTTAAGTTAGGACATATGGGCCAATTTATTATTTATTTGGACACTTTTTGTATTTGAAACATTAAATTATAATATATAGGAGGTGTATCGGGCCTTCATGGGGTCATTCTACATGATTTTTAGAAATTGAAAGAGAAAAAAAGCCTTAGCATTTTGTAACCCTAGCTTGGGTGTATAGAAGAAACTCTAGGTTTCTTTGAATTATGCTTGTGTTTGGCTTTGTTTCTTGCTGATTTTACTGTTTTCTTAAATTTCCCTACTGGTATCAGAGCCCACAATCTGCATGAAAGATATTGTAGCAGTGTAAGGAAATTACTGTAGCATGTGTATTGTACAATAAGGTGACTTGGATGGATGTTCTCCAAAGGAATAACCCCATAGAGGAAGAAATAGGCGGAGAACAGAAGTACAATAATCGGAGGGATGACCCATCAGTAATTGCAATCCCTTAAATGTGTGCTCCAAACTTGTTGTGAAGTGGCAGTGGATGAGAAGATGGGAGTGAGACTCCATATCTTCCTCACACAGATGGCCTCTGTTGGCAAAGTTGAAACCTCTCATTTGGAGCTAATCGAAAGTATGTTTTTTATCGGAAATGGTGCGCCAAGAGAAGCTTGGATCCTAGGAGGGGTTTCAATGATCCAACCTTTATGGTGGGTGGTGAAAGTGGAAGGATGGTGTGGGTCGATGGCTTTGTAAAAAGAGGTAACCTAGAAAATTCCAGAATACTATTAGGACCAGATGGGTTTGTTGGGGTCGTCTCCCTTAATGAAGAGGGTGGAAAGGTGGTTGAGGAGGTTGAGCAAGTGGTTAAATTCGTGGTCCTGCAAGGTTCCTCTAAAAATTGTTAACCAAATTTGCTGGCTGTTGTAGGATTGGAATTAAAGAGCAAATGTGGCATCCGGGTTACTGGCTAGGGAATAGAGGTTAGGCCATAGGTCTTTCAGGGGGGTCTCCACGATCCACGTGTGTTTCTAGAACAGGACTCTAATCACCAAAGTTAACTTCATAACGAATTGTGGTATGAAGATATCCCGGCAAGGGTAGATGCTTTTGAAAAAGGCAGAGAAGCCAGTTATACTGAGGTTTTCTTTCAGGAACCAATCCATGACTGAGGTTTGTTTGGTAGCAAAATATCACCACCATTTGCCAAGGGCGTTGTTGGTAATCCTGAGATCATGGAGCCCCCAGCCCTTTTGGGCTGGGCTTTGTCGGTAATCCTGAGATCACGGAACCCCCAGCCCTTTTGGGCCTGCAGGCCTTGTCCCAAGAGATTAGAGGAATATTTTTCCTAGGACTGTTACTAGACCAAAGGAAGGTTCTCATGGTCCTATTGAGAATGTTGAGAGTAGAAATCGGTATGATAAAACGCAACATGCCACTTTTGGGTTGGCAGACCTTGTCCCAAACGATGGACTGTTGCGATTACAAATGATAGGAGAACTGCATGAATAATATGAAGGTTACAAATTTCCTGCAAGATCAGCTCTTTCAAGGCCACCAACCCGGGCTTAGGAGCTCTCTCTTACCAATTTTGACTATAAATTAGCAATTAACTCAATCGTAGTCAGATGTTAACCATGAGCAAAAGCATTAAGACGTTCAAGGACAATTGGATTTTTGAAGTTCTCCTGACCAGTAAATTTTGCTGCAAAATATTTTTATGCAATTCCAAGAGCCAAAACCATCTGGAAAACACATTATCCAACTTAAATCTCAATAAGACAGGCACATGATCCTAGAAAAGCTCACAGGAGACCAAACAGTGAAGAAAAAGGCCGCTCCTGTAGAATCATGATGCCTTCTTTATAATGGCACAGTAATAAAGAAAAACCCCAAGATCTAGTACCCAATCCCAGCTATTCTCAAGAGGTTTGGGAATGCTCATAAGCGCAGACTATTTTATGATTCAATAATCCATATAGGTTCATGGGAGCTTCTCTGTTCATACTGCTTGAGGTCCACTACAAGGAATTTACTAAGACATACATGATAGTAGGTCACTAAACTTCAGTGGGGTTTAAGTTTCAATTCTGATTTCATATAGCAAATTAAGTGTTTCTCAATCCAAAATATTTGCTTTAACAGTTTAACAGAGTTGATTGTGACATACAGTGAAATACTGTAAAAGCATGTAATCCATCACATACACCATTTGCATAACAATGGCTATCAGAAACTGAGTCAGAATTAGGAACCCAAATCTGGACATAAAACCAAACTACAGGGACTTTTGAAACAACCAGAGATTAGAGGACATTATAATTGTTAAAATCACAATTTCGCTTGAAAGTCACAAATGGGGGGAAACTCTCAACTGTGTTATTGTGATTAATCTCATCGAATAATACACGGTCCATCTAAAAATAAAGTAAACCTCCCGGAACACATAAAACAAATGTTAAACAACCTCTAAATCCCACAAATATGATATAGCAACATGTCAAGTGAACGGAAATATAGCAAAGAGCACCGTTTAGCTATTAAGCATGACTAAAAATGAGAAACACCGACAAAAAATTGCATAGCTTATGTCGAAATTTACCTCCCAATCCCTGCCAAACTCATCTAACGCTTCCTTTAATGCACCCTCCGCCTTATCCCAAGTTTCAATATCTCCTAAGTACTTCTCAGGCCTCTGATATACCATAACAAAGCATTAGAGTAAATTGGAAGCCACTTCTCCAATCCAGTGAAATCCCTCATTATAGCTGTGACATATATAACCATCTATAATATAAACTTGGCAAACAAGCTGGAAAACACATTAACTGTAAAAATGTAATATGCACATCTAGGAAAGATCATTTTTGTTTGGAGCACACGTAACCTCCAAATATTCATTACAATACTTTAATGCAACCTTCAGATGATCCAACGAAGAATAAATATGACATTTCAAGGGGAACAGTATTTTTTTATTAAAACTAGGTTCAAGAAGTCATTTCAATTTGAACTTGGAAAATTTTGGTTGATTTCAATTGTTGTGTTACGGAAGGATTTTGAGTAAACATTCACAAATGAAACCACTACCAAAATAATGAAAACAAAAGAATAAGTTGTCTTATTCGGTGAAAAGCTAATCAGGAAATTGACTATTTTACAAAGGTCCCAGACATAAGACACGTAGATCCACTCAACAAACAATAAGTTCAATTAGTTGATCAATGCACAACATGCCATCTGATCTCCAACGATCGAGCTCAGAGTATTTAATCCATCTGTAATGAGGCAGAAAACAACAATACATGACACAGATGCTTACCGTAGATAGCTCCAGCTCAAAGGTGAATCCAAAAGTATCATACACATGCTTTATGAAGTCTAAGACACCCCTAACCTCATCTTTTATCTGCAAACAAATGCAATGGTACCATTTGAATACCGCAATAAATCACCTTTGAATAGCATAATTGAATAGGAACATTTAGCCCACGAGAACACGAAGATAACTTCATTTTCAATACTGACAACATGTACACAGAAACAAGGTAACCAGACATGACCAAGTCTAAAACATTGACAGGAAATCTCATCCGTGATCCATAAGAGGCATACAATGGTGATCGGATTTGTACAAGTCGGGGTTCTTAGTGTCATAATCCACAGCAATATCATCAACTATGTTTTCAAAATCTCGCATTTTATTTCTCTATATTGTTGAAGTGTACTTGTAATGATGTGATAAGACACACCTCATGAGATGTTTCATTCTTTTGAGGAACTCTCATATTTACACTATGGATTAGAACTGGATTGTTTATGAGTGACCTAAAGCCAACTAAATCCCAATGTTTTGGCTGCAAGACTGGAGTTCAGTGTCACTGAGCAAGAAATTGAATTCACCACCTTCTTTCTCATACTCAAGAGGAGGGCATACTGTACCGCTCAATATCATGCAAACCTAGGAGAGGAACTTCCTGACAGAGTCTCTCAGCAATCAGACACCTCATAGGTGTGTCATCTTCTAATTAATGTGTACCTACTGCTTTCTCATTAAAAGTTGGCAGACCAATTTGGATAACTACCTGTTATTTGCACCTGCCATAGTTTTCCATGCTGGTGACACAAAGGAAGGTTGTCATTCCTGCCCAAGTATGAACCCAGTATATGGATCCTTGATGAAGCTCTGATATGTTAAGCATAGGAGTAAATCACTTGGGGTTTCTTATTAAAATTCAAAAAGGAAAAAACTAAAGGTTTCTTGCGAACAGCACAAAGAATTTCATGGAAGAAGAGAGAACAAACACATTTTTAAAGGAATTGGAACTTAGGCTTCCATGCACAACCCCATTCAGATATGATAGCATACATATACAAATTATAAAGATACCCGAGGACATCTAGTCACTCTAGTGTCCTCAACTGAGTAGATTGGTAAAAATAGAGCCAAACAAAGCATAATAAACCGAAATGTTTCCACATACATTCTCCTTGCAAGCCCCAATATTGAGCAAGTGCATCCTTACAAATGTAAAGATAAAACAATCACCAGTAAGGTCACCTATCGCCATGCTTCTAGAATTATTTGATGTTAGTTAATTTCCGAAGGCACTAGTTTGCGCACAAAACTCCAATTGGCATGCTCTTGGTCTTCTTTTGAAGATTTTAAAGAGATTTACAACTACTATCTCTATGTATTTTGTCAATTTCAGGATGTAGGCCTCCAATTGGAGCCAAAATGTTCTTGATAAGATTAATAACAACTTCCAAATCTTGTTAGTTATTTGTTCTTTAAGGTATTAGGTGGAAGATGATGATCAGTTAGAGTTAGATTAAAGAGCAAGTCTAAACATTTTCTTTGCACTTCACTTTCTAGCATTCTGAGAATGCACATTTTTTTTAAAGAAAGAATTTCAGAGAGGTTTGAGCACCCAGCTTTTATGTCAAGCAATTATTGGCGCTTGCTCCTTTACTTTTCAAATATTTTTCTAGTCGATAATCGTTCCTTCATCCATTATCTAATTATTATTACTGCACAATGTTCACTGACTTGGGTAATGTACTCCTGAAGGGGGGCACATTACATACTATATGATGTACAGAACTCATGTTCTATAGAGATTTGTCTGAATGGTACAAACCTCCGCTCACTTGTCTGCAGTACTCCAGCAAATCCCTATAGTACTAGCCCGAGCACTGCACATGTATCAGTTAAAAAGAAAAGGAGGGGAGGGGGGGGGAGGTTTGAAGTCTGTTCCCCTTGTTTTCTCCATTTTAAGGTCTGAGATCCTAAAGAAACTGATTCCAGCTGAAATTTAGTTCATAGACCCATTTTTCGCGTGATCTATCCACTAGATAGATCAGATTTTAGGAAGAAACCAAATTTGACAGATTTGAGAGATCAAAGATTTCAACCAAGGTTTTGCGCAACTCTGAAAAGATGTGATTACTTCACAACGGTTAGTCTATCTTCAAAGAAATTTGTTCCCAAAGCCTAAATTTGGTTTATCTATGTTGGGGTTTGTGGCCATTAAAGGCCTTGAGAGCATATAAAAATAAAATAATCATAGTAGACGTGCACCCTCCAATGGGAGTGTTAATTGACTGACCTTGAGGTTGGGCCCTAGGTCATGTCCAAAACCTTTACCCTAGGGCATAAGGCATTGCTATCGAGGGTTAAAGTGGGACATCCCTTGTTGAGTCGGAGAGATATGCCCAGGGATGATGTGAGAACTAGAAGAGCTTCATGGTCTCCTGCGTGCGATTGCAAGCCTATGAGGGCAAGGGCCAAATCCTCAACAACCACCACATGACATGTTCATATCATAGCCACACTCTAATAAGCAGCCCTGTAAAGAAGGAATGTTGTACATGTGTTTAAGAGATTGTTCCCTTACATTGTAAGCAATATGTGCATCTGCATCCTTATGGATATGACTTGCTCTGAGGGGGAGAACCTAAAATCTACATACTAGGTTGGTGGTTCCACCATTTACTAGCCAGCTTTAATGGACCAATCATGAACCCCTACGATTGACTGAATGATGGGTTCCGTTGGGTTGGTTTGAGAAGATGGTTGTGAATTACGAATCCTAGGACAGGTGGAGTGCCTCATAAAATCATTTTTCCTAGCCAATTGGTACCAATCCACTTCTAGTTTTGTTTGGAATGTGTTTTAGAATTTTTGAAATGTCAAAAATGTTATTTTCCAACCTTATTTATGATTTTGTGATTTTTATATATTTTCAGAAATTTTAAAATTTATTTTTATGCATAAAAAACTCCTAAAAGGTCGGTTATGATATTTTTCAACTTATAAGGGGCATAATGGGACCCATATGGGGGGCCAAGGGCCCAGCCCCACATGGGTGTGGGATGCGGGGCCCAAATGGCGCACAAGTCCAACCAGATATAGTTGAGATGCCCATGTCCTTTATTTGTTAAGGATATTTTCTACAAAAAAATTATTATGAATTTTGGTTAGCTATGGAAACCTTCTGATTTCCAAATTAGTTAGGAATTGGACCTTCTACTTCGACTAAAGTTTTCTAATGAGATTAAAAAGTTTGTGAGAGAAAAGGGATCTAATTATGTGGGACTATGGAAGGCCCCATCCTAGCTTGAATAGAAGTGGATATGAGTTAAGAATCTGAGGGATAATGGTTCCTACTCAATCATGATAGCTGATTTGAATAAGGGACAGCTTAGATTAATTCTTTCTTTACACCACAGGTTGCCTTATGAGTCCAAAGATCATTTGGAGACTATTTTGAGTATGGCATACCCTAGGTTCCACCTGAGCACTATAAATAGGGGGTGGATCTTCTCATTCCAGCAATTGCAGTTTGGCCTCTCTCCTCTTTCCTTCATGTTATTCTCTCTCTACCTCTCGCTAGCTCTCACAAGGGTGGCACGCCCCACCCATAGGGCCTAGCCCATAGAGAGTGGCAAGCCCCACCTATAGGGTGTAGCCCATAGAGGTAGCACGCACCACCTGTGGGCCGTGGCCCTTCTTTTTGTGTTGCGTTAGAGGCAGCCTAGTCTAGTTTGAACTGGTCATTTCAAAAGGGTGGTGACACATTGTGGCATGCCCTAGATTAAGGGCTGAAAAGATACCCAAAATAGTGTTTGTGATCATGCTCGCATACTCATAGTATTACTTGTGTTGAAGGGTATTGCCAAAATTGCATAACAATTAGAGGACTCAAGAAGATCAAGGAACCAGTGCGCCATCAGTCAGGCAACTGGGTGTAGGTGTACTATGTCTAACGAGGGTGACCCTAGGCAACATTCAGGTAAGTCTTCCTAGCTTTATTTACAGTTCTATTTCCAATTTAGTTCAGTTATTTCAGTCCTTGATTACTATTTATGTGTTACAATTTCTATTTGAACGAGGATTCCTATTTATAGAGGGATTCCTACTTGAATCATGATACCTATTTGATTTAAAAACTTAGCTTTATTTTTTTGTGTATCAATAAAATTATATCTTCATTTTAAGGCAGTAAGAGATGAAGATCCAAAAGTTGTATGTAGGTTTTATTTTATGTTTTCTGTTGTGTAGTTTGGCATTGTAAGTAGAAGTGCTCAATTGTGAATAAAAAGAAAAAGAGCAATTTTTTAATTTACACCCCGGGAATCCTACATGACCACCACTTTCAATTTGTCCAACTATAGGCTGTCTCACAAAAAGGCAAAAAGAAGTCGGACTTGTGAGATTTCAAATTTGGATTACTATTCGTCTAAATTTTTCAAGAGCTTAGATCCCCTAGATCCAAACTCCAAAGCCAATTCTAGTTTGGGGTTTTAGATTGTAGGTTATGTGGCCTTTCAAGGCCTTAAAGCTAATAGTCTTATGCTCAATGGAAGTAAGAAAGAGATTGAATTTGGGTATTTCATACACTGGGGGCCAGATTCATATACCCGAGTATTTGAGGCATTGAGAGTATACATTTTGAGAGTATGAACTCTCAAGGAGGAGTGAGGGTCACCTCCCAGTCAAGACTATATTGATTAGAATACCTCATAATTGATATGATAAGCCCTTCCATGAAATGTGCACCCACAATCGTATGGAGAAGCCATTCTTTTATAGTGTTATCCGACTTAGAAGATCTAGTGCACATGTGCTTTGAGAGTATTTGAGTAGGAACATGTCCCACAGGAGTGCACCAGTAATCCATTGAACCCCCGATGACGGAAGCTCTGGCTCAGCGACTTTGATGTGATCAATTATGTGTCCTTGCCACAAACTGTGGAACATAGACCCATTGGGTCGACTTGAGACACTGGTGGAATGTCATTCGGCTTAGCCCAATGGAAGACTCCGACTAGTGTTATAAGTCTAGAGATCTCATTTACCTTTGGCCCAAATTAATCTAAAATTTTGAGAAATCGTGTAATAATTTG